CAAAAAAAAAAAAAAAAGAGAAAGAGAGAATCGGATCCACATCCCGAGGAGGGGCAAGGAGGCTGGTGGTAGTGTTTCCATCCAATATAAATCACTTCTGCTTTACAGACCCCAGAGACCACTTGGCATAAACTCCTGATTTTACAAGTAACAGAATGTGAGCTCCGGGCAATCAGAGCCCAGCACAGAATCCACTCGGGCCAGGTCTGTGACGGGGGCCCTGGCTCCCAGCCCAGAGCCGCACAGCCAGGGAAGCACCAGCAAGGGACGACAGGCGCACGCTGAGGCCGGGGCTGGTGCCTGCAGACTCGAAGCAAAGGACCGGCCGGGGGTAACGCGACTGATCCAATGCTTTGCAACGTGCCCAGACCCTTCGGTAAGAAAAAAGGAGCCTGGTTCCTTGAAACGTGTTCTCCGTGACATAAAAAAAAAGACCTGAGCAGACTTCGACCACATTGAACCAGCCATCAAGCCATGGCAGGAACTGGCCAGGATCTCCTCCCGCAACGGTGCCCTCGCGGCCGGCACACAGCCACTGAACGGAAGGACACCGCACACGTCCCAGCCTCACCGCCAGGGCCTGGTGACCTCATCCCAGATCCTGCACCATCTGATAACGACAGCCATGGCCACGGGGACCAGCAGTCTCCAGGCTGAGATGGCCGCACACGGGACCCACACTGGGGACCCCACAGATCAGCCAAAAAACGTCACATGTCCTGTGAGTGACGCCTCCACACAAGACACCCTAAATGAATGAGCTGTGGACATGCTGGGCTTCAGTAAAATTATATTACGTTAATTTAACCTTTTCTTTTTTACTTTTTTAACGTGCCTGCAGAATTTTTTTTTTTTCTTTTTTTTTTTTGAGACAGTCTCCCTCTGTTGCCAGGCAGAGAGTGCAGTGGGCGCATGTCAGCTCACTGCAACTTCCAACTCTCTGGTTCAAGTGATCTCCTACCTCAGCCTCCCAGGTAGCTGGGATTACAGGCACCCACGCACTCAGTGCCCGGCTAATTTTTGTGTTTTTAGTAGAGATAGGGTTTCACCATGTTGGCCAGGTTGGTCTCGAGCTCTTGACCTCGTGATCCATCCGCCTGGGCCTCCCAAAGTGCTGGGATTACAGGCGTGAGCCACCACGCCCAGCTTAGACATTTAAAAATGATCCACGTGGCTCACGTCATGCTCCTGTTGGGCGACAATGGCTCGGAGCCTCATCCTTTGTCCTGGTCCCGAAGCAGAAGGGAGGAGGCAGACACTCCTCCGCCAGGCAGCACATCGGAGCTGGCACCAGACCGTAGGTTTGCGTGATTTCAAACTCGTCACCATGGAGCCACCAGATCCCAACGTGCCTGGGGTTTTCCAGGCTGAACCCAGGCCGAGTGGACGCTGCTGTCACCCACTGGCTAAGGAATGCCAGCCACATGGTGCTCCAGACACTCACGGGCCAAGATGACCGCCCTTCTTGTGAGTCTCCACATCTTCATCTGTGCATAAGTAGAGGTCCCCGGACGTCACTAGATGCCATGGAGGCCACAGCGCAGGTAAAGCTGGGGTTTACCAGCAATAACAAGACAGAAGAACCATGCACAGGACAAGGAAGGGGACCCCAGAAGGCGGGCCCGAGACAGAAGATAGATGGGGAACAAAGGAGGAAAAGCGGGGCAGGGATAAAGCTAAAGAAACACCGAACACGGAAAACAATATTAATAATGGTTACCTTGAGGGGGTGTCAAGATACCCAAGATAAAACTAAGTCAGCAGGGAAAATAGCACATAGGCTGGGGGTGGTGACCAGAGTTAAAATACACTTAAGGCTCTTACTGCTCAGGACAAGGGTAGCAATGTTTCAGACTTCATTTTAAAAGATCAGGGTAGGCCAGGCACGGTGGCTCGCGCCTGTAATCCCAGCACTGTGGGAGGCCGAGACGGGCAGATCACTTGAGGTCAGGAGGTTGAGACAAGCCTGGCCAACATGGTGAAACCTCATCTCTACTAAAAATACAAAAATTAGCCAGGCGTGGTGGCGGCACCTGTAATCCCAGCTACTCATGAGGTTGAGGAATGAGAACTGCTTGAACCCAGGAGGCAGAGGTTGCAGTGAGCCAAGGTTGCGCCATTGCACTCCAGCCTGGGTGACAGAGTGAGACTCTGTCTCAAAAAACAAAAGCAAACAATGACAATGAAAAGATCAGGGGGTAACACTAAGCAAAGGGAAATAAAAGCAAATGCCCAGTGACCAGGAGGCAACGACAGGATCAACACACACTCGGCAGGAAACACACACAGCAACCCAAGAGGTAGTGAGAAACAAGGGAACGAGGACACGCAAAAGGCAAATGGAGAATCACAGTGCACCAGACGGGTCTCTCGTGACAGAAAAATGAAAACAAATCAAGTTATCCAGTTAAACAACAACTGTCAGACTGGACTGGAAATTCACCTACATGCTGTTAACAAGACATACCTACACGGTAAGAACAAAAAAGTGTTGAAAATTAGGCCAGGCACAGAGGCTCATGCCTGTAATTCAGCACTTTGGGAAGCCGAGGTAGGTGGATCCCTTGAGTCCAAGAGTTTGAGACCAGCCTGGGCAACACAGCAAGACCCTGTCTCTAGAAAACATTTTAAAATTAGCCAGGTGTAGTGGTGCGTGTCTGTAGTCCTAGCTGTTCAGGAGGCTGAGGTGAGAGAATGGCTCACGCCGGGAGGTAAAGGTTACAGTGACCTGTGATCATGCCACTTCACTCACCCTGGGCAACAGAGCAAGACTCTGTCTCAACAACAAAAATACATATATATATATATAAGGCAGAAAACAGATACAGCAAGAAAATACTAATCAAATGAAGCCCAGTGTGGCAGTACTAAGGGCAATTTAAAAAAAGAATTACTAGATGACCAGAGACATAGAAGTCTACAAAAGATTCACTCATCAGGAAGATAAAAATTCTACCACGTGCATGCACCTAATAATGCCCCATATAAATGCCACCAAACAAGAAGAAATGAACAGACCCATCCCCCATGTGATGGACTGTGGCCTCCTTCTTGGAATTTCATGCATCTAGAAGGAGACAGAAGCTTTGCACAGGACTTAATAAGCTGGATATAGTGAACATGCCCTCTATTGGCAGGACGTCAAATTTACAATGGCTGATTCTGGAAACCATCCACACACTAGATCACAAAGCAAAGATCCACAATTGGTATTATACAGACCACCACACAACTGAGTTTGAAATCAATAACAAAATGATAACTTAAAATACTCTACATATCTGGAAAATAAACCATGTTCAAATAACTCACTGCTCAAAGAAATCACAGAATAAGTTAAAGAATACTTAAAAGTGACTGATACCAAAATGACTTCACATCAAAACACAGGGTGCACCAAGAAAAAAAATCACAGTGTAAGAATATTTAAAAGAAGTATTAACACGTATTAACACTTTTAAGTATTTTAAGAACACTTAAAAGTGGCTGATGTCGAAATTCACATCAAAACACAGGGTGCAGCTAAGGCAGCACTTAAAGGGAAAGGCATAACTAAACTAAGAAGTTAGCAAAGGAATGAAAGAATAAACCAAAAGAAAGCATATAATGGAAAGATAGAAACATTAGAGGTAAGTCAGTGAAATTCAAAACTAAGACTCAAGAGAGAAGTCTGCCGAAGGCCGGCGGAGACACCAGCCCTCCACGTAGGTCTCAGAGCAGGAGACAGACGGAGACACTCCAACCTGTGGCTGGATGTCAATCCACGTGAGGGGGCGACTGGAGGCAGAGCCCAGCCTAAGCAATGACCGGCAGGTGCCCAGAATAAGGTGACAAGGGTTGCCACCCACCCAAGGGAGCCAAGCTGAGGGGCAGCTTGGGAGAAAACAGGACAAGTGAGGGGGTTGGGGTGCCTTGTTTTCCTTCAGGCCACAGAGAATCCTTTCTGGGATGTCTCTAGCAACACTTGGCAGCAGACACAGGCAGCCCACAGTCCAGCCTCAGCACGACAGGGACCCCGGGGACTGCACCTCACTCACCCTGCACATGACAGGGACACCC